CCGCATCACCACCTCGGGTGTGCATTATTTTTCTAATAATTCAACGGCCCGTCGTCAATTATTCCTTACTTATGATGTGCGCGCATGGCGTGACAATGAGCAATGGGCTGGTAAGAAACTAGCAAAGCCACTTTGTATTGCACTTTGAGCAGATGGAAAATGGAGCCCCATGTCTCTTTGTTTCCAGGAGCCACATCAGCGCCCACCCTGATCTTCATACTTCCAGGAATATTCTACATAAGAATTGTCCCTGAGAATCTGGAACCACTGAACTCCAGACCAAAGATTCAGGTACATCCTGTTCCGGAAGAGCAGCACTTGCTTGCAGTGTGTAATTAATCACACTAAGATGTTTTCTCATTTATTCTCTCCTTTCGACGTCAGGCTGCCTGTTTCGCATCTGTAGGATTCTTGCTTATGGTGATCAGCATATCCCTCATCATTATGGACTGGGCATCTGGAGGACAATAAAGCACAGGTGGACACTAACACATCACCTTCAGCCAAAGTCATGAAGGCAGGACAGCACATCCCTACCCTACTGGAGTGCCAGTCTCAGTCATGCACGCCTTTGGCTTTGATAAGGGTGACAAGGGTAATAAGGATGTTAAAGAATAACAGAAGGATACATCCGCCACAGTGAAACCAAAATGGCCAAATCAACTGCTCTGGTATCAGCATTTCTATTAGAAGCACAATTTTAAGGAAAATGTGGGAGATTGCATAACCCAGCACTCAAAATACTCGGCTTTCCATTGTCTCTTAAATCAAACTGAGGCCACCACAATGATCACTTTGTAAGGGTCACGAGGAACCCTGCATGCTGAGGATGGGGAAGAAGGCGGGGCCAAACCTGGGCCGCCAGTTTTTCGTGTGTGCCCGGCCACAGGGAAACGCCTCCAACCCAGAAGCACGCTGTAACTTCTTTGCTTGGGTGGACAAGGGCAAATAGCAAGGAGTGTAATTGGAAGGGGGAGTGGCTTGGAAGGGGGAGTGGCTAAGAGTATCAGAGATTCCACTGGTCAAGGCTGTTTATTCTCATGACTTTGGAATCACATGGAAGGGGTACCGTCCTTAAATGTGGACATAGTACTAGGCAAAAGATGAAAGATACTGTGATTATGACAAGCCGTAGGTGATGACAGAAAAGAGTATTCCTGGCCCCATGCATTGTGAAAACTGGTCCTATTTGTTTTATTTCACCCCTGTAATCGTGTCCGTTTCATTTCATTTTCATGTTCAACTTTTTACAGAAGTGTCTTTTTAAAAATGTTTACTCTTCAGAATGGCTGGCCCAGATTGCAATAACTGAAAAAAACTTTTTGCTGTTTTCCAGTATTAGTCAGTGTGAAAAAGAACAAAGAACAAAAATGGACATTAGTATAGGTTGGGAGAAGGTGACAAAGTGGTTGCCTAGCACCCCCTGGTGTACTGACCTCAAGTCATTCACAAAGGGACAGATTGGAGAGCAGGCTGAAAATCTAGGTTAAAATACTGAGGGTTCTGGCTAGTTATGGGTAAGGAAAAACATTTATGAGTGAATTTATTATCTTCTCTGCTAGTTTGACAAAACACAGTTAATCAAACTTTGTCTCCTACACAAAGGAAATGTATTACGTTTGTGAGAAATACAGGTATCTGACTAAACCTTTGTGTCACTGAGAAAAGAGCAGAGCCGGTCACCCTTTCTGTGTCCACCTTGGGCCCCAACTTCTGAGGGGCGCAGACTCCGAGGCAAAGTGAAATACAATCATGTTGCAATATCACGGAAACAAAAAAAAAACATTTTGTGGTTTGTATATTAAACACAGAAATCAAATTCTATTACAATCTGTTCATACTAGAGATGCAGAGATTGCGTTTAAGCTATCCGAGCTTTGCCAAAACCCGGTCAAAACATCCGCGCGTAGATGTAACATTACGGTATCAGATCGCGTTTATGGAAAACAGACTCCACGATCCCGCATACTAAACGGGTGATTTGTTCTTCAATAAAAGAAATTTCTTACTTTCCCATAATGTATAAACAAATATTATACCTTCTGAAAGGTAAGGTCCAAGGCTATTTCCAGACAAAATTTGGTCAACTTTTACTGTAACATTTTCAAAAAAGATACTTCAGAATCCATGGTTTTATACACATTTGCTTATACAAGCCAAGTTTGATACGACATTTCTCAGAAATTTCCCATAATGTATAAAGAAGTCTAATACCATCTGAAAGGCAAGGACATAAGTTATTTCTAGACAACATTTTGTCAACATTTACTGTACAGTTATCAAGAAAAGGCATTTTGAGATCCATGCTATTTTGTGTTATGAGCCAAGTTTGACAGGATGTATCTCAAATATTTCACATAATGTATAAACAAGTCTTATACCACCTGAAAGGTAAGGTCCAAGGTTATTTACAGACAAAAGTTGATCAAAATTTACTGTATCATTTTAAAGAAAAAGCATTTTGAAATCCATGTTTTTTTTTTTTGTTTTTAAGCCACGTTTGACAGGCCTGAACTCCCAACTCTCAGAATTTTCCCATATTGCAATAACAACTGTCTTTGCGATCAAATATTATCTTTTGAGTAGAAATCAATAATAATCAAGACATACACTCACCTAAAGGACTATTAGGAACACCTGTTCAATTTCTCATTAATGCAATTATCTAATCAACCAATCACATGGCAGTTGCTTCAATGCATTTAGGGGTG